TGCAAACCAGGTGAACTGCACTAACCAGATGGCTTTCCTGTCAAACAAGATGTATGTTGGCTATGGCTTTTAAAAACAACAAACACTAGTTTATTTATGCTTACATAGGCTGTATATATAAACTGTGCTTGTGTGCGTCTGTCTACACAACATGCACTTGATATAATATATTATATAATCTATAACTGCTACTCATTCCTGAGAGAACTGCTAACTGTGTTAGTAAAGAATTCACCACACTGATAACAGAGCCAATATTGCTTCTATCATTTCTGTTTGTACTGTAACTTAATTTGTTTCTCACCATGCTGCTGGGTGAAACTATACTTTGTGGCTCAGCCTTCCACCAATTCATGTGCATTCCTCTCCCCCCTCATTCATTTCCTACTCCAGTCACCACGATGAGTCATGAGTCATGAGTCTTGGCATTACTGATCCAATCCCCTCCACCATACTCTCCATCTTTAACCTTCTTCTATTCCCGCCAGTGGCTCTTGGCGTCATAACTGTCATGGAAACAAACCAAAATAAAATGGACTTCTTTCAGCTAAAATGGATGCCAGCTCAAGAAGGAGGCATTAGCAACTCCAGCACAGAGGGACCAATCTTTCTTAAAAACATGGTGCAATATTGATGTGATGTTTTGAATCTGAGTTTGACATTTCACCATAAGAAAAAATCTGCCAAGTAAAAAAAACAGTGCCAAAGGGGAATTCCAGCTTTGATTGGTGAAACTGACAAGACAGCAGAAAGATCATAATGATCAATGTTCACATCATGTTGGAGGTTGGTTCAAAACAAACAGTGACATGAGATCTCTCTCAGAGCACATGCAAATTGATTGAATTTGAGAAAATCCACCATGAATTATGAAGCATGTTTTGGTTGATGATATTGCTTTCATTACTCCGCCCACCAAAATGCTGTGCTAAGTTGGTTAAGAGTAGATCCTACTTGACTACAGAAACAGAGGTGACCACACACATTTGGAGACATGGTACAGTTTTGAGTTAGTAGTACAGTTATCAAATCATATTTGGATTCTGAGTAACGCTATAACTATGTGCAATAATAAGAAGAGCGTAAGATTATGCCTCCGATTCTTTTGCTTTCATTTCAATCAGTGGTAATTCATTAGGACCTGTCACATGCTTGAAGTGAGTCCATCTGTCATTACACCACCATCAGTAGACTGATGTTGATTTTATCTGCTGGCTAATCACAAGCTAAGCAGGTGACTGATATTTCTTGTTTGACTGGTGTTGAGCAGCAGTGAGCAGGATTTCACAGCAGGATAAAGAAGTGTGAACAGGGATGGACCTTGTAACATTCTATAAATATTTCAGAGGTCCTATTGCTGTCAGCTCTGCACAATGCTGTCACAAGGTGTGTCTGAGTGTTTTATAGCTATTGTAGTAAGTGTGTGTACAGGCACTGAGGGTGTGTGTTCATGGGTGTAACACTCTAAACCCTTTACTCCACTCAACCATAAAAGACACACCAGGTGAAGGTTAAGGTGGTTAATCATCATACAAAATGTGTCAAAATCGCAGGATTTGCAGAGTAAACTTGTTGTGATCATCCCAAAAATGGACATTATCGTGATAATGGATTTGTGTCTTCAGTTAACAATAACATAAAGCTGTCTAGTCGTCCTTCCTTGCAGGATACAATACAATCACCCTGCACACTGAACAACCCTTTTTGTTTGAAGGGCCCATTGTGTCGCAATTGAATCTTCTATAGCATTAAGGAGTGAAAGACGACCAACCCTCTGTGATTGCACAGACCTGATTTACTTCACTTTCCTTAGGAACAGCAGGTTCTGTGGGATGTTAAGGATATATATTAGTTTAGAAAGTAGCCTTTAGTAGCCTAGCAAGAGGGATCATACTGTTGCGCTGCAGCTTTAAAAGGTGAAATGATATTATGATCATCATGAGCAGATATCAACCAAAAAAATCAATGAAAATTTCAGATCCTTTCAGTTTTTCAGTCCTTTAAAAGAATGCTATCTTTATAAAACTTACCTGACTTCAATTTTTCCATGAAATTTCTCATTAAAATATTTCAGCATGTGTAGCAAAATAATCTGAGCACAGAAGTTCTTTTTCTATACTATTGGGCTATAAGGTAAACTTTGAAAAGAGTGAAAAACTCCCTCTGACTGAATTCATTTACAGAGATCTGTGCCAGTCAGCCAGTCAGGTGGATAGCAACTTGAAGAACCTACATGTACTGTAAATATAAACTTAAATAGTGTCTGGACTATCAGAAATATTTACATTTATTCATTTAGGTGACGCTGTTTTCCAAAGAAACTTACAATTGCTATATGTTAGAAGTCGCACGCCTTTGGCAAGTGTCTTGCTCAGGCATTTTGGTGTCTCACAGTAGATTCGAACCCAAGTCTCTCACACCAAAGGCATGTGCCTTATCCACTGTTCCATTACCACCCCATCAAACCTTTCTCAGATGCTTTTTGGGTTTTTCCTAATATATAAAATATCAATAATACACAATCTATCACAGTGACAGATCATGGAGCTCTCTACATGGCTCTGAGTTGCCCTTGGCAAACCAGTCATTGCTGGTTGACCGTCCCTGGTATAAAAATCAAGGCACCTATTGTTTTTGCTTTATAATTTTCTTTTTTTTAAAAAGCCACCGTTAGTACGCACCCTGCGTTTTGGGGTGGTACGCACTGGACACAACATGGTGTACATGTAAAGATTCGAGCACCTGATTGAAAAGCCTGGACTGGAAATATGAGCCTTGGTCAGTCTAGATTATACGGGGTAGGCCAAAGGTAGTAAAAAACTTTGTCAACACTTTCACTACAGCGCTGGCTGTTATTTTACGCAACGGAATAGCTTCAGGAAAGCAGGTGGCAGTGCACATGATGGTATGTAAATATTCATTTCCACTCTTGGTTCGGGGCAAAGGCCCAACACAGTCAATTATTACACACTCGAACGGCTCTCCTATCGCTGGTATCGGGTGTAATGTCATGGTGCGGGGGGGATAATTTGGTTTGGTTTGCCTGCGATCTGGCAAACATGACAACAGCAGTAGTACTTTTGCTATCCCTAAATGTCCTGACCACTGTTCTATGGAGAGAACATGCTGTTGGTACATTGAAAGAACCACTACCTGGTAGATGACATTCCAGTCAGAATTAACTGCTGCAGAAAGGGTCAATATACATACCAGAATGTCTTTATCGATTAAATAGGCTACTTTTTCTCCGCTTGCTTTGTCGGCCCTCACCACACTGGAGAAGCATCTCTTTAGTGTCGGGCATGCGTGTCAAAAGGGGTGGATTTCAGTCTTTTTGTCTGATATGGTTTGGGGGCATGGTAGTGGGGAAATAGGAATGAAAACCCCATCTACAAAAAACTGCACATGCTCAAATCTGTCCCACATTTCACATGTTTAATAAAAGTCCAGCCCTGAAGACATCTACACGTCAATGTCCACTCATAGTCATAGCGCCACCTACTAGCAACAGGAAATTACCTTTAACAAAGCAGCCCCCGCAGCACGTGTGACCTACATGTACGAAATTTCTGTGGCACATGGACCACACCAACGCCATGTTACATAATGACGCATATAGGTTATGAAAGTACAGGCTGGATAACAATCGAGCAGTGTTTTCTGTGGGAGATGGTAACTCAGTTTTAGGTGGACTTTGGGCTCTTTTTTACATGCAAAAAAAGATATATAACACAGTAAAAGAAAGGGAAAAAGCCAAAAAGCATTTTATGACCTCTTTATGTGAAAACGTACAAGCTTCACAACATAGCATCGATGTCTTGTCAATGTCAATGGCTATTTGAGGATCTCGTTTTCTCAATTAGTCCCATTGACTTTAATGTTTTGCTGTGTAATCTCAAGGCACTGATTATAAAAAGTTGTTCTATGCATGAGTTTTTGTCAAAATACGTCTGTGTTGTGGCGTCAAAACCCCATGATTCACCAATAAAACAGGAAGTTGTGAGAACTTCAGTGTACATGCTCACATCTGCATTTAATTTCACATGTGTAATAAGAGTCCTGCCCTGAACACATCCAGAAGCCAGTATTCTCTCAAAGTCACAGCACCAGCTACTGGCAATAGAAAAGTTTATAAATAGACAAATTTTATGCTGTGATGAACGACTCCTAGCAGGTTGGCCATATCGACTTTGAACACTTGATGATGCTATGTTGTGAAGCTTGTGACACTATAACACTATTTCAGTGCTAACAGAATGATCAACCTACCAATGATGTTCCTTTTTCTAATACAATAACTCCTGTCTGATATTTATAGCTCTCTCACTGATGTTTGAACAAAAAAAGAAATATAGATGGAAAAATAAACAAGGACAAGAGGATCAGGAGAACAGAAAATGAAAATGTTCCATGGAAAAAACTGATCCTATTCAGCTCAGTGGCCCTGAGCCCAGTTTGGTTCCTTATTGGATTTTCTGTCTCCTGCTCTCTCCGTCCCCTCAGCAGCATTTCCTGATTTAAAAAACAAAGACTTTATTTGTAGCATGTGTGCTAGTGTGGGAACCATTTCCTCTTATTTATATTAATCACATATGCATTTTATCCACCTTCTCTGTTTCTTTCAACACACACACAAACACACAAACACCACATGTTGCTCTCATGTTTCTGTGTGTGTGTCTTTGTGTGATCTCCCTGTTTATCCTCCGCCTACCACCCATGTCACTCTATCTTACCACACCCACGGTTGCTATAGCAACAGGGGTTTACCACAGAGCAATGATGACTTTCCCAGATGCATGCGTGTTTGCTCTGAAAATAATTTTAGTGTGGTTGCCATGGATACGGAGATACATGGAATTATACAATGTGTAATTACATACTGTATGCAGTGTAGGTATGTGTGGAAACACTGCAGCACACATTTGTCACTAGAAATCTGAATTTGCCTCACTTCCTTACAAGAGACTAGACTTGTCAGCGAGACTCATTCACAGAAGTAGTCCTCAATTTCAGATTTTTATGAAAGCTGCAGTCAGTAACAATGGAACATACAATGCATATAAATGTAGTTGCTTGATTGTTTATGCTGAAAGTAAAAATTTTTTTTATCATTTTGATATTTATTTAAAAAATAATTAATATATTATCCAGAACAGTGAAAAACATATTTTGTATTTTCTCTACCCTCTTGGGAATAAAACTATAACTATGTACAGGTATCTATTCACATAGTGGATGCAATTTGTATATCTGTTAGTGACATTACACCCTACTAGGATAAAACCTCTGTATTGTCCTAGAGGATCAACAGTCACATTTCTTCCAAACAAAGCAACTCGGTATCACAACTCTGTGACCAAGTGCTATTGCCACACTACAAACTGTCCGTATGCTGCCTGACTGAACTGTCTGTTACTCTGTACTGAGTCTGGAAGGTCAGCCATGTGTGGTGCATGGAAACACAGTAGTCTGGATGTTGTCCACAGTCCTCAGATTCTGGCCTGTAAAGGAATATATAATTGTTAGAACCTCAAGTTGGAAAGATTAGTATAATTGGACAGAACATTCATCATGAGTCTAACACACAAAATTCACCTTCGCTTTGCGTAATGTTACAACAGCTGTTAGCACAGCTATCTGAATCAAATCTGTAATCTGTAACACACTGAATCAAACTCAGCTTGACAGTGAGTACTAACAGCCAGGTTAGTTGTTTATTGTCATAAGGAGTTGTAGTTGTATTCTTACCTGTGTTTCAGACATGATGTTAGCCACAGTACTGCGCTCCTCCTACTGTGCTCGTCGCACTCTGCTCATGCTCCATGTTCACATGTTTCGGGGGCATGGCTTTGGAAGGATCCCAGAAGGGAGGGGGTGGGAGTTTCTCTGTTGGATACGTTGGATACCCTGCCTTTAAGTTTCGTGTTCTTAATAGTTTTTTTAGTCGGTCTGTTTTCTGTTCTGTTTAGTTTAGTCTTGTCTGGTGTTAGTTTGAGTCCTGTGTCCTGTGCTTCACTCTGCCTGCCTGTATGTGCTCCCTGTCTTGATTGCCTCATGTGTTCCACCTGTTTGCTCTCCCTCCCTGCTTGTTTGCCTGAGTATACATTTTTCAGTCAGTTCTGTTCAGTCACTGTCCAGTTATTGTAGTGTCATGTCGAGGTCTGTCCTGTGTGTAACCCTGTTTCTTACTTATATTCTCTGTCTTTGAACTCAGCAATTGGATAGTGTCTTTTCTTGGTTTTTGGTTTTCCGTGCCCACATGTCAGCCTGTGTTCATCAGTTCATTCTTGTTTTTGAATAAAACTCACCAACTGCAACTGAAAGCTCTGTGTACGCTTTGACCAAATGTGACAACAAGTTACTAACATGATGGGGCATAAAAAGAGAATCCCAGTCTTTCTCAAGTAAAGATGGGGAGGGGTACACCACTCGCTGGAAAATAGTTCAATAATTTAAGAATAATGTTTCACAATTTCAAATTGCAAAGAATCTGGGTATTTCATGGTATACAATACATCATATCATTAAAAGATTCAGAATCAGAAGAAATCTCTGTATGCAAGGGTCATGGCTGAAAACCAATATTCGCTGGCTGTGATCTTTGGACCCTCAGATGGCACTGCATCAAAAACAGACACAATATCTGTAGTGGCAATCACTGCATGGGCTGAGGAAAACTTTGTCTGACAAGTTGAAACTCTACCATGCAAAGAGGAAACCGTTTAGAAGCCAGAACCAGAAACGCTACCGCCTTCTGTGGGCCTGAGCGCAGTTAAGATGGACTGTGGCGAACTACCTCTGGTAAAGATTTTAACATTTTAATTCTGTCTGGAAATCATGGACCCCGCGTCCTCCAGGCTAAAGAGGAGCGGGACTATCTGACTTGTTATAAGTATTAAAAGGCAAAGGAGACCCCAAACTGCTGAGCAATTGAAATCCTATTTCAAGAAAGTATTGAGTATTGTTAAAGGAAGAGGTGATACAACATAGTGGTAAGCTTTTTTTGAAACATGTTGGTAGCATCAAATTCAAAATGTTCCAAACACTTTTGCACACAAACAAACACAATTGCACAACATCACATTTTGTTTTTATTTGCATTTTACATAGCATGCCAAGTTTTTGGGAAACAGGGTTGTAACATTATACTGCAAGCAGACTTCATCCAGCACACAGCAGATTAGAACTGTGCAGAGTATGGGAACTCTTGCGCAATCTCATTTCTGCAGTATGTCTTTACATAGTTTCTTTTAATCACTGTGATATATTCATCTATATATCTAGAGCCAAGAAACACAGACGAATATGGAGTCTTCCACTGTGATGAAACGGATATTAAATTTCTGTGTGTAGCCCCCTCAAACTATAAAGGGTTGAATGCAGAAGAATACTTTCTTACAAGGCCTCCTCACTGAGCAAAAGGATAACAGTTGTGAGAAAAGGATAAGAGTTATGAGAAAAATGCCAAAAATGTCATGTAGGGCTCCCAGTCTGGTAATCAGTAAAGCACTATGCTTAACATTAGAAAGGCAGTGAGGGGAAACACAGAAACTTTATTTTGAACATGTGTTTCAAAGTGCGTACCAAATTATTTAAATCCAAAACCAAGCTGTTACATGACTTCGAGGACGGTTGTTTGTTTACTGCAGTGTGAGGAATTTATCATGGTTATGTGGCAAACTACTGGACTATATGATGAAAGAAAATTGGGTTGTCACGATTAGAGCTGAATTCCTTGTGGTTCTTTTGAAAACAGCTGATTAAATTTCACTTTGTAATACATAATACATGCCATTTGATGTAACAATGGAGATCAGATACTTAACATAAACTTAGGGACAAAGGGTAATATGACATCTATTGTTCTCATGCGAAGGTGTGTTCCTTTGGCACCAGTACAGTAAGATAATACTGATAACCTGTTTTTTTGTGGTTAATTTGGAAAACTAGCCACATCAAACAGCCTTTGATGTGTTCATTGTGTTTAAGCACTTTTGAATCCTGTGTGGTTTCTGGTGTCGTTGTTCAAACATCACAATTTAGCCTGTCTTTGTAAAACATTACCACTTTCCCATAAAAAACTTAGATGTTGGAATCTCAAACATTATATTCATCCCCAAAAACGTAGATTGAAATGTGCTTATGCTTTTAACACCCTCCAAAGTAAGCAAAATTGTACATTAGCATGATGAGAGGGAAACAATAAAAGAGAAACACAATTGTGTGGCCAAACAGCAAGCCGTGAAAGGGAAGTAGAGCTGACATGACTCACTCCCTCTTGGCTACTCCTCTGTGAGGAGAAAAAAGAAGTGAGAGGAAAAAAAGTCATCTGAACATGTCCAAATCTAAGCCTCAAATCTGGATCTGACCTGTCCTGACCACGAATGACTCATAAAGGGCTATATATATATTATACAGTATGTGGAGAGGATAAAGTGTGTCCCTGCTTTCTGAAGTTGCTGGACTTTGATTCTTAATAAAACTGATGAAAATAAGGCCAGAAGCCTAACAATCCAAACAATAGAAAATTGGATGGATCAATGAGCATGCTCAAAATTAGCTGAATGTATAAATAAAGTTTACTGGCAATTCCATTGCTGCTGGGTAGTAGCTGGAAACAGCTGGCAAAGAGTCCTGAGTAACACCAAAGAGTCTTTGTCCAAAACTTGGTTTACTGCAGAGAGCCAGACGGACTGCAGGACCTGTGTGAGAAGCTGATGTATGATGGCAGAGGATTGGAATGCGCAAAAATTGGCAAATGGAGCAAAGAAAGGCAAAGAGTGGGAGTGAGCTTCAAGCAGAGGGGAGTCACTGTAGAAGGGTGAGGCATGCAGACAGGGAAAAATAGGTTTTTTGAACAATGAATAGGAGAGAGTTGTTTGGAAACAGGATGTAGTGATAATAGGTGAGTTCTGGGAGAGCTGTAGAGGTATAGAAGTGGCACACAATTTCTCTTAGTGGAAGATTTTGGAAAAAACAATGATCCTCCCATTACATTACATGCATTTTTCAAAGCACATTTAAAGTGATGTGTTTCTATGTTTTAATTAAAAGAATAGCACATTTTGGGAAACAAAAACACTTGCAATCTTGCAGAGAGTAACAGTGTTTCAATACGCATGTAATTGCGTTCAGAAGAGTATTTTTATGCTTCAAATACCTTTTTGTTTTATGCACATAACCACAGTGATGGTTGACCAACACTCAGTACTGTGCATGAACACATTCTGTAGACACAGACGGGGAACTGCACTAGCTGCTACTGCTCTGCTAACATGCTGCGGACACTAAGTCAACCTGTTTACATATCATATTAGAAAAGAAGGTACTCTCATGTATAACTGTAAAATATGAAGCTGTAGCCTGGAAACAGTTAGCTTAGCATAGCATAAAGGCTAGAAGAAGGGGGGAAACAGCTAACCTGGCTCTGTCCAAAGGTAAAGATATTTGTCCCTCTAAAACTTGGAGAGCAAGGCTAGCTCTTTCCCCCACTTCCAGTCTTTATGCTAAGCCAATTTAACAGTTTTCTAGATGTAGCTTCATATTTATCAGAGTAAGATAAGCATATTTCCCAAATTTGCAAAACTATTCCTTTAAAGACAAGAGGTTTTAGCATGACAGCAGCAATTAACACAGGCACCTTTTTCCGGGGGTTGCTACTGTAAAAAAGAAGGTGGGTAGAACTTCCAGTGAGGTGGCAGAAGTATTATTCCAACGGTATTTTCTATGCTAACTAGCGAAGAGGAAGTATTTTTCCTGCTGTCTACATTTGCACTGTAACTTAACTGAAGAAGACCATTTGTCTGGAGCTGAAACAGTGGGGCCATCACTGATGAATGGCTGTGGGTTATGAACTCTCTGTGGTTCTTAAACTTGGGGGGAGGTCGTTAATTCTTACACAGAACTTGCTGATGGGCCTGGATATGTGTGGTATGGTCTGTGATGGTTAAAATGAATGTGCTTCATCTTACTTCTTCTCCTTGCTGTCTGTACTTCATCTGTCACTGATGCTAGCACCCGAGCCTTATGATGTGATACGTGTAGGCTCTGGCTGGGCTCAGTGTCTGCTTTTAGATAAACAAGGTTGTTTCCGACATCTTTACATAACACCCGGCTGACTTTATCACTGTGTAGATACTGATACGCTTCTGAGCTTTTAAAATTGCTCATTGCGTTACCATCACAAGCCACAGAATCAACAAAATACCTAAAAATGCTTCCGTACGTTATACGAGATGTACATCTACTGCGGAAGGTAAAGATACCGCTATTTCACCCGTTTCTTAACTCGTTGAGGTTGTGTTCCCACATCGTTAGCAAGTTTCGCTATGTTTTGAACGAATGACTCGTCCCTCTTGTTTACTTTGAACCGGAACTTGCTCCCACTTTCAACGCAAAGCATCATGGGACATAGGAAACTTGCTGATAGGGGTTGCTACAGAGCGCCATAAGCAACAAGAAAGAAATATGCAAGGAGAGAGAAACACGCGAGAGTTAGAGAGCGCCAAAGAAGAGTGGAGGGAGAACCAGATTTATGGGTTTAAAAGAAAAATGTGATGTGTTAAATTCCTCACTTCTTCTGTCCACAAGCCTTAATCCTGCTGCCAGAAGCTGGCTGAAAAGGAGGTATTTTAACCTGTGCAGACTTGCTTACTATGACCTTTCATTGTCAGTGTCAGCTTTTGGATGCAAAGCCACAGGTGGCTTTAACTAAAGGCTTCTTGGTTGCTTTAAGATGTTAAAATAAAGGTGTTTAAGTCATAAACAAATTTTTGTTTCTTACTGTAATATTAAATCTACTTTATTCTGTAAAATATCCACATAAATTCTAGTCTACCCTATTTTCCTAACTTCTTTAACATTCTGTGTTATCATTTATTACATAACTGCTTGCTTCCAGTGAACTATGACACATTACTCAGACATTTGGAGAGAATTAGTGTTTGACCCACACAAATAGGGTCCGTTAGAGAATGTTTGTGTGTGTGTGAGCGGGGGGCATTCAGAGGGGAAAACCTGCTGTGCTAGTCTGGGTATTACCTAATCTATTTGT